ATAATCACAATCTTTTTATATAAAAAAATATAACTTTTCATATGAAGAGATAATTTTTTTATTTTAAAACACAATGACAACAATCTCATTTTTGAAGAAAAAAAAAAGGAAAGCTATTAAAATTACTAAAACTAAAAAATCAAATAAATTGGAAAGCAAAGACTAAAGGGTAAAATATCTTGATCCCTTAAGTTTTAGTCACAATTTCATTTGAGTCCATTAGTATTAAAAACAAATAGTCTATCCCAAATGTATAAAGGACGTAAGTAAACATGAAATATTTAAAATATCATTTTTTTTTCCTTCTTTTTCACTATTTTCTTTTTTCTCAAGTTGGCCGATGATGCTTTTTTACACCAACCAGCCACCCTGCGGCAAAATATGGCAATGGAATGTCAGATCCGGCTAGTTCTCCTTAGAGGGAGCGTAATCTTTATGCTCGTCGGGGGAGGGGGAGTGCACTCCTTTCCAGCTGGTCGATGCTTCCTTAGGCTCCCTTCTAACATCACGGTGGTCGGTTGGCGAGAGAAAAAGGTAGACGGAATTTTTTTTTTAAATAAGAGATAAAAAAAATTTAAAAATAAAAAATTATAACTTATATAGTATGTTAATTTTTAAAATTTATAAAAAATAAAATTATTTAAAAAATATTATCACACCATTAGAATGCAAAGTTAAATGCCTTGGCCGTTCATCTGGATTTGAATCAAAAAGTCAAAGAAATAAAAAATTTAAAATTGGTTTGTGTTTGTTACCCATTGGAAGTTGGCACATGTTCTCTGTTGCACGTCAAAAAAAGGTTAACTTATGCATTAGATGTAAAACGAGGTATAAACATTTCATAAAATAAATTTTAAATTATTTTTAAAATTCAAATAAATTTTAATACTTATAAGTTAAATAAAATTTTATAATTAATTATTATTAGTTAAAATATCACTTATTATTTTATACGATGTGACGTTATCATGACATATTAATATATCATAATCAATAATGATGTGAAATGTTGATATTGTATAATGACATAACTACGTATCATATTCATCGTTCATGTTAACGTTATAAAGATATAAAATGACAAGTGTTATTTTGATTAATAATAATTAGTTAATTATTGATTATAAAAATTTATTAAATATAATAAAAAATAAAAATTTATTCAAAATTTTCAAATAATTCAAAAACTTTTTCAAACCCTATACTTTGATCGTTACCCATTGGAAGTTGGCATATATACAATCACATGTTTTTTGTTGCAAGTCAAAAAAATATTAAACCCATAGATTCCCATGCACAAGTTTTTCATGAATTAAATCTCTTGACCTCAAAATTACATATACATACCCCTATATTCATACTACTAACCCTGTCTATTCTCAGCATCAATTACAAAATAACAAAAAAACCCACAAATCCGTTGACTTTTTTTGTCAAAAGAACAACATTTGACTAATGTAAGGATTGAATTGATATGAAACTTATAGTAATGAAACCTATGAGATATTTTGACCAATATAAAATACGGTGGCTAACAATGGCTTTGTGGTTGGGAAATAGTCTCTTTTGTTTCCGCAATGGCTTTGGTCAAAGCAATAAGTAGAAGCAAAAGATCGGCCCAAGAGAGGATTGAATGGCAATAAGGTACACTGTAGCCTTCCAATGTTGGGAAATAGGCCCAATCCTTTCCCATTCTGTGGCTTTGTTTTTGGTTGTACATGAGGGTACCCTTGGGGTGTGTGTGTGTGTGTATATATATATATATATATAGAATATATTTTATTATTTATTTAATACGAATTGAAAACATTAATGCAATAATAAATATAATGAAGATGTAAATTATACTAAATAATACTAATTGTCATTTATTGACATAATACATGGTTGTGTTTTGTC